ACAGGAGTCTGCGTAGTGAGTGGTCCTACACACGTGGCCAGCCTTGTCTACACAGAGTTCCAGGCTAGCCAGGGCTACACAGGGAGGCACTTTCTTAAAAAAAATAAAAATCAGATACTGAGCATGGTAGTTCACGCCTTTAATCCCAGCACTCGGGAGGTAGAGGCAGGTGGGTCTCTGTGAGTTCGAGGCCAGCCTGGTCTACAGAGCGAGATCCAGGACAGCCAAGCTACACAGAGAAACCCTGTCTCGAAACAAACAAACAATCAATCAAAAACAACAATAAATCAAATCAGTTTTTCACTGTGCTTCACAGTATGAACTTATATCTTTCAGTGTCTATATGATGGTATAGATGGAGCCCAGGGCCTTGTGCATGTTAGACAAGGCTCCACCTTGAGCCACGCCCCCAGCCCCCTCACTGGGGATTCTAGGCTCCACCCCTGAGCCACGCCCCCAGCCCCTCACTGGGGATTCTAGGCGGGGGTGGGGTGGAGATGGGGGTGGGGGTGGGAGTGGGGGGGGGGCTCTACCATTAAGTTTTTCCTCCAGTGCTGTTAAACAGAATTTTCTAATGATATAAAGAACCCTGTTCTCAATATCAGACAATAGAAGCTACCAAGCTTGAATCCTGCTAAAATTAACCTGAACTTAAGACCCGGCTGTCAGAGTTCTGGCACCTGTTCGTGGACACCACAGCAGCCGGTCTTGGCAGCGACCCCTGACCACAGGCCAGCCAGTGGCTAGCACGCCTCCTTCCCAAAATAGTCTGGGAGGCTCTTTATTTCCATCCCGTCTGTCCGGACAGAATATGAGATCCCCGCGCCTTGGGCTGGAGGGCGGAAGGCCGCTCCCCTGTAATCTCCCCAGCTGCTCTCGGAGCCGAGCCAAGGCCAGAGCCGCTGCGGTTTATACACAGGTTCTGCGATCCTGACACGGACTGCCAAGGGCTGAGGACTCCTCCTGCCTCCGCATTTCAGCTACTGTGAGAAGCGGGGACCACCAGGACCCCTTTGGGCGCATTCCTGAAAGTGCTAACCGGCAATGCTACCTCCCCTCGCCCTCCTCTTCCCTCCCCGCCCCTCCCTCCCTCCTCATGTCCTTCCTTCCTTTTAGCTGTCGCTCAGGTAGCTCAGGCTGGCTTGGAACTGGTGATCCTCCTGCCTCAGCTTCCTGCGTGCTGGGGTGACAGGTGTGAACCTTCCCACTGTCTTTGAGAATGTGCTTGACCCTGCACCTCGTGCTTCCGATCCACCTCCCACCCCCGGAGGCCCCAGCATCCCCAGGAACAGACCCCACTGCATCCCTACATTTTGAGCCTGAATAAAGCAAACAAGCTTGGTTCACTGGCACCACATTTATTGGCTTATCACTCACACTGAGCTTTGATTGACACCGAGAGGATGAAACCCAGGAGCTTCCAGATTCAGGCCCTACCCCTACCTCCGGGCAATGCCTTGAGAAGGTGCTTTCTCAGCAAACTGGGTACTCACAGAAGCCTGAGCCCAGCCTTGCCCCACACTCACCTCCCAGACCTTCTGGTGACTTTGGCTACCACAGCCCTCGCCCTGTACAAGGCCTGCTCCTCTCCAGCATTATAGCACTGTACACGGATCAGGTGTGGACCATATGTTTGTTGAATGACTGAATGAACAATGTTGATCCGGCATGAGGGACCCCTGATGTGTCCAGGGCCCAACAGTGAGCACTCAAGGAGGTTGACTCTTGGACACTCTGCCCTGCGTGCAGGTGGCTACACTTCTTTTGCCTGTGGGCTGCTGGAAACTCAAGCTCTGCTTCCTAGCAGCCCTGGATGTATCCGCTCAGCTGAGTAACTGGTGAGACCTTCTGGGCCCAAACACAAACAGCCTGAGGTACAAAGCACCTGCCACCGCCCTTCACGCAGGCTCCCTGGCCACAGCATGCTGCTTAGGAAACTTCTGACATCATCTACCCTGTGTACACAGGAGGACCCGGGGTCTCCGCGCTACTGAGAGGAAGCTAGAGGTTCAGAGAAGGAGGCGATTTACCCCAAGATGCCCAGAAGGAGTCACAAAATTCTAGGGCAGTCCTGGGAGGGATAGGACATGGGAACCCCAGCACCTGGATCTCCAGAGGAACTCAGGTAACTGAGTCTCCAACGTGGCTTTAAATTCTTTTGGTTACAAGATATAATTTGAAAGAACAAAGAAAGAAAACCAAGAATCTACTGGCCAGGGCTTCTGCTGTGGGTGCTGTGAGGATGTGTGACCCTGAAGGCTGTGACGTCATGAGAGGTCTGGCAGAAAGCAGGGCTTCTCACTGCTACCCAACTCCTCCACCCTCATCAGCCCTGGGAGTGGTTGATGACTCCAAACTGCAGATAGGGAAATTGAGGCTGGTGGAGGGGAACTCTGAGCCCTGGATGCCCCTAAGTTCTGAGGTTCCCTGAGTCCATACCCTTCTCCCGTGGATGCCTGGGTCCACCCCTAATCTGCCTTCTTGGTCTTCTTCTTCCTGGAGCCTTCGCTCAGCTCCTCCCTGGCCTTGGCAGGCAGGCCCGAGTGCTGGGTGCCCAGCCCGCCGCCGCCATGTGGTGCTCCATGGTTGTCATGGTGATGGTCACCTCCCCAAGCTGCCCCAAACAGCACTGGGCAGATGTAGCCTTCCAGGACATCAAATGGAGAACTGTGGGAGTGTGTGGCCGTCAGGAACACCTGAAGGGGAGCCCAAGAAACACAGTGATGGGGGAGAGAGCAAAGGAGCCATGAGAAAGGAGCGGGCCAGCCCCAGCCCTCTGCTTCCCACACCTCCAAGCTCATGAGCCCCCTTCCTGGAGTCTAGAGAGACCCGACTCCCAGGGTGTCCAAGCCTGGATAGTCCAGGGATGCTGGGACCAGTGGTCACCCACCCCAACAGGACCTCCCAACACCTGCACTTGGGTGTTACATTTTGTTGTTGTTGAGTCAGAGTATCATTGTAGCCCAGGCTAGCCTCCTACTTACTGTATAGCCATGCAGGGCCATAAGAGATAGGTATCTCATTCCATCAAGTGGGACTATAGAGGGTGTCAATCATCTGAAGCTGGGAAGAGTCCCTCGCAGAATCCCATCCCTGCTGCCACCGTACCCCACCCCACCATACCCCACCCCCACCGTACCCCACCCCCACCGTACCCCACCCCCACCGTCCTGGCCATCACCCTCCAGAACTCTGAACAATGATTTCATCTTCTCTCCCTCCCTTCTTCCCCTCACACTCTGCCCTCTTTTCTCTTCCATCCTCTCTCCACACTTGTTTGCTTGCTTGCTTTTAGTTTGTGTTATATTTTTTTTTCTTTTTTTTTTTTTTTTTTTTGGTTTTTCGAGACAGGGTTTCTCTGTGTAGCTTTGCGCCTGTCCTGGAACTCACTTGGTAGCCCAGGCTGGCCTCGAACTCACAGAGATCCGCCTGGCTCTGCCTCCCGAGTGCTGGGATTAAAGGCGTGCGCCACCACCGCCCGGCCTAGTTTGTGTTATATTTTGACACAGGGTCTTACGTAGCCCAGGCTGGTCCCAAACTTGCTGTGTAGCTGAAGATGACCTTGAACTCCTGATCCTGGGCCCATTTCCCTGCCACAGGGCCCGGAGTGAGGTAGGGGGGTTGTTTTGGTTTTATGAGACAGAATGTCTCTATGTAACCCTAGTTAGCCTGGAACTCACTACATAGCCCAGGCTGGCCTCAAACTCATGTCGATCCTCCTGCCTCAGCCTCCATATCTGGGCTCATCCCTTTCCAAGGCTGTGTTCTTCTCCAGGGATGGACTATACCTAAGGCGGGCCCTTCTATGCTTGGGGAGCTAGGGACAACATTCTCCAGCCCTGCGGAAGGACAGGGAAGGCCCAAGCCCCTTCTGGGTGTTTGATCAGTCACAGTGGACCCTACGGGTCACACTCACAGTGACTTCCAGCTTCCTGTCCCACGGTCTCCCATACAGGCCACCAGCACCCCCCAAGGCCCATTCTCTTCCTCAACCCTCATCCCTCAACCTCCCAATGAATTTCTCCTGTCTATCTCATGTGGACCCTGTACCCTGGGGGTGTCCGAGTTCCCGCACCCCATCTCAGGGGCGTGGAGGTCACATGCTTACCTTACATGACACCATGAACATGGTGAAGACGAAGATGAGGCTGGCCTTGGACACGGGGAGCCAGCGGGTCTGCTGCAGGGTGAACAGGACGGCTCCGTACAGGCTGGCCTTGGTGGGGCTGGAGGGTAAGACATGGGTCATGTGGTCCACTCTCAATCTAGGCTGCATTTAAAGCTCAGCAGAGGCGCAGCTGCCCAGGAAGCACCGGGCTGTCTTCCCCAGCAGGCGACTGGTGCCTGCTTGCCAGAGAGCATTTTAGTTCATGTTGGGTTGGGAAGTTACAATCTGAGCTCACGTATGAGAACAGCTAGGGGGGTCTCAGGATGATGGAAGGTGGGGAGTTTGGGGTAGAGGCTATGCTAGGGGCAAGAACTCAGCCAGTGAGGAATTCACAGGGTGGTGACATGCGGTCAGGGAAATAAAAAAGTCTGTGACCAGATCAGGGTGCCGGTCACTTTAGCCTTTTCTCTATGGCGAACCCTGACTTCCCAAGGTTGTAAAATAAAAGGCTTCTCTCTCCTGAGTCCCCAGGGCTCTTATTATGAAGTGAGGGCCACCTTTTCTGACAGAAAGTCGGACTGTCACAGGAGCTGAGTTACTGTCCCTCCTGACCCACACCCTTCTCCTGCTCCCACCCTGGTGTCTCGCTGCCTCTGTCAATCACCCTGTAAGCAACCTTAGGAAGCTGATTTCTCCTTCCACCACGGAGGGCCTAGGGACTGAACTCTTACCATCAGGCTTGGCAGCAAGCTCCTTTACCCACTGAGCCATCTCGCAGGACCTCTCCTTATTTTTGAGGCAGTCTCTCACTCCCCCAACCTGGAGTCTACCGGTGTTGCTAGGTGGGCTGGCAGGGAGCCCGGGGGACACTGTCTCTGTCTTCCCAGCTGTGGTTCGAATGAAAATGGCCCCATTCTGATCCCCATTTGGTGGTGCAGTCTGGGGAGGTTGAGGAAGTGCAGCCTTGGGGGAGGAAGTGCTGGGGCTGGCTCTGAGATCTGAGGGCCTCGCCCTCCTCTGTTTCTTGCTTGCCATTCAAGATGCGTGCCCTGAGCTCCTGCTCTGGCCGCCACAACTGCTGCTTGTTACCAGGTCTCCCGCCATGACAGACTCAGCCCTCTGGAACCTAAGATGAATGGCGTGGTCATGGTGTTTTGTGCCGGCATCTGTAGACTAGCTAAGACACCAGCACCGGGTGACAGGTGTGCTGCCCACCCGGCTTCTTACACCAACACCAGGTGACTGACAGGTGTGCTGCCCACCCAGCTTCTTACACCAGCACCGGGTGACTGACAGGTGTGCTGCCCACCCGGCTTCTTACACCAGCACCGGGTGACTGACAGGTGTGCTGCCCACCCGGCTTCTTACACCAGCACCGGGTGACTGACAGGTGTGCTGCCCACCCGGCTTCTTACACCAGCACCGGGTGACTGACAGGTGTGCTGCCCACCTGGCTTCTTACACCAGTACTGGGGTGACGGATGGTGTGGGTGACGGACCCTGATAACGGTGAATCTTTTTTTTTTTTTTCCCCAAGACAGGTTCTCACTGTGTACCTCTGGCTGGCTGGAACTCACAGAGATCCTCCTGCCTCTGCCTCCCAGTGCTGGGATTAAAGGAGTTCACCACTTTGCCTGGATTGGTAATGGTGACTCTTGTCAATTTGACAGAACCTAAAAATCAGCCTGGCAGTGGCAGCACATGCCTTTAATTCTAGCACTCCAGAGGCAGAGGCAGGTGAATCTCTGAGTTTGAGGCCAGCCTGGTCTACAGAATGAGTTCCAGGACAGTCAGGGTTACACAAAGAAACCCTGTCTCGAAAAAAAAAAAAAAAAAAAAAAAACTGGGCTGCGGTGGCGCACGCCTTTAATCCCAGCACTCAGGAGGCAGAGTCAGGCGGATTGCTGTGAGTTCAAGGCCAGCCTGATCTACAGAGCAAGATCCAAGACAGGCACAAAAACTACACAGAGAAACCCTGTCTCGAAAAAACAACAACAAAAACAAACAAAAAAACAAAAACAAAAAATCAACCCAGAGGCAAATCTCTGGGAGGGATTATCTAGGTTACGTTAACAGAGGGGAAGAGCCCTGCAGAGCGTGGGTGGCCCCAGTGCACTGTCTGGGACTGGATATGGAGAAGCCAGCTGAGTGGCACTCCTCTGTGGGGGTGGGATATGAACTGCTGCCTCATGCTGGACTTTGATGCCTGCCCTGCCGTGGCAGACTGAACCCCTAAACTGCAAGCCTAAGCCACGAGCTCCTGAATTGCTCCTGTCTGTCAAGTATGGTGTCACAGCAATAAGAAAAGCCACGGAGGCCTGCTAAGCCCTTGAACGCTGGGTGTGGAGAGTGTTGTGGCCGCCTGTCGCCTCACATAATCATGTGATCTTGGTGGCTGCGAGTTTGAGTGCGGTGGGTTACATCTGCCCAGCAGGTACTGGAAGCTAAGGTCACCATGCACAAGGCTAAGGAGGCATATGGGAGAAGAAAACCCCTGGGCAGTGAGTAGAGGTGCTGGCATGGCGGGGAGAGGTGAGTCCTGCAGGCTGCCGCCCCAACGCTAAAGAAATAGGGGTTGGGAAGATGACTCCGCGGCCAGCTGGGCAGCGAGCCTGGGCATGTCAAGGACTGGGGGGTTGTCTGAGAGACCCTGCCTCAAAGAATGTGGTGGGGAAGCAACTGAGGATGATCCCAGCATAACCGAGGTCTCTACATGTGCCCCTCACACACACGTACACATGTCCACATGCATGCACACCACAGACACACAAAAAAATGGAGAAGAGAACAAATAAGCGAATGAAAGAAAAAAGGATGTATTAGGTCCAATGCAAGGGGCATGAATGTTATGTGGCTCTGCCCACCATTTCCTTGGCCCTCCACACCACACGGAGTGCCTGCCCACAGCCTCCACTCTGCTCCATTTCCTCACTTCCTACTCACATTCTGCATCCTGGCCATGCACTTTTCTAACCCGGCAACTGGCAGCAATGCTAGGCTCTGGAACGAGGGTCTTTTGTAGCCAGAAAACTCCTACTCACTCTTCAAAACCCCAGTCACATATCACTTCTTTGCAGAAGCTCTTCCCGCCCTCACCCCAGCAGTATCTCCAGGTGATTAACAGTGCAGGGTCAGGCCAGGAGGGAGAGGCCAGGGTACTCACAAGGACATGTGCAGGATTTCATTGGTCTCTGGCTTCCAGACTCCTCGAAGCAGCTGCTCCAGGTTGGACAGGAGGGCGACACCAGAGCCTGTGGGGCAGGGTACTGCTGAGCTGGCGGCACACCCTCATTCCCAGCTCCCTTCTAGCCAGTTCCCAAGGAAACAAAGGCCCTTCTCGGGGTTGGGACTTAGCTCAGTGATAGAGCGCTTGTCTAGCAAGCACAAGGCCCTGGGTTCAGTCCTCAGCTCCGGGGAAAAACAAAAAAAGGCCTTCTCTTCACGGGGAATATCCGTTACAGGCAGGGAGGACCATCCATTACAGGTGGGGAAGACCATCCATTACAGATGGGGAGGATCATCCATTACAGGCGGGGAGGATCATCCATTACAGGCGGGGAGGACTGTTCATTACAGGCGGGGAGGATCATCCATTACAGGTGGGGAGGACCATCCATTACAGGTGGGGAGGACTGTTCATTACAGGCGGGGAGGATCATCCATTACAGGTGGGGAAATGAGGCTTGCATCAAAGCCTTCCCACGTTCACACAGCACAGTCAGGACAAACTAGCAAGAAGCAATTGGATGTGTCCCCTCCTTCAAGGGACTGTCTTGAGTCTCACTGTGTTGCCCAGGCTGGCCCGGGACTCCTAGCCCTCCCTGGCTCAGCCTCACGAATGCTGGGATGACAGGAGCCCGTCCCCACGCCCAGCCAGCTGCTGTGATCTTATTTATTGAAAAAAATTAATAATTTTTTTTTATAATTTTACTATTTGTCTGTTTATTTGTGTAAGGGGGTGTCAGCACGCCACAGCTCTAATGCAGAGGTCAGAGGACAACTCATGGAGTTCTTTCCTTCCACCCTGTGGGATCCAAAGATTGAACGCAGCTCATTTGGTGGTGATCATCGCTACCTACGGAGCCATCCTGCCAGCTCCTACAAATTTTTTAAAGTTACATTTATCTAGGTGTAGTGATGTACACCTCTAACCAGCTCTTGGGAGGCAGAGGCAGGAAGATCTCTGAGTTCAAGGCTAGCCTGGTCTACACAGAGAGACTCTGTCTGAAAAAAAAAGTTACATTTTATTTATACGGTTTGTGGTAGTGGGGAGAGTGTCCTCGTGCATGTACACACCAGGACACGTGTGTGTGGAGGTCAGAGGACAACTTGCAAAAGTTGGTTCTATCCTTCCACTATGTGGGTTCTGGGGATCAAACTCAGGTCATCAGGTTTGGCTTCAAGCGCTCTTTCCCGCTAAGCCATCTTGCCGGCCCCTATTATCATTCACCGTTATTGTGAATGGTGTGTATGGTGTCCATGTGGTGGGCATTGAACAACTTGTGGGAATCGGTTCTCTCCTGTGTGGGCCGCAGGGATCAAACTTAGGTCACCAGACTTTTGCCGCAAGCTCCTTTACCCACTGAGCCATCTCATTGGACCCCTGTGGTGATTTTTTTTTTTTTTTTTTTTATCTTCCTCGTCATCATTCTGCTTACCTTTGACCCACCCGGTGGCGATCATGATGAACCATCCGTGGTGGTAGTGGTGGTGTGCGTGATGGATGCCCACGGCAATCTTTCGGACCCTCACCACCTCCTTCATAGCCACAAAGATGAGTTTCACAGGCAGGAAGCAGACGCATTTGTAGAAGAGGTCCAAGGGACAGAAGAAAATCAAGTACCTTTGAGGACAGAAGGCCTATGGTCACGGGGGAGGGCAGCCCAGTGGGAAATCCAGAGGAGGGCAGTGGGGATGCTGGTGCTATGCAGATTGCGACTGGGGTCTTTGCACCTTCAATCTCCCCCTTCCCTGGTGCTGGAGTCCCCCCTTGACCCCAGGCTCAGCCTTTCTGGGGCCTCCAGGTGCTTACCACACCGCAGAGGCCAGCAGGATGCTGGAGCTGTTGCTGAAGTAGTCGATGATGGGCTCCCCGAGGAGCAGGTCGGCCAGGATGTAACTCCCGAAACAGTGCAACATGGCACACAGCCAGGACGCCACAGGGTGGCGCCGTGACAGCTCCACGGCTCCTGCGAGGCACACGAATTCCTGTGGTCACTGGAAGAGGTGACCACAGGAGCATGCCATACCTGCACGCATGCTGCCCTTTTTAACCCCCTGGGTGCTGAAGATTAAACCCAGAGTTTCCCATGTGCTCATCGGGCGCTGGGACGGAAGCCTGCTGCATGCTGAATGTGAGCTCTGCCACTAAGGTCGGGAAGAGGCAGTGGCGATTCACCTGTGCCCGCTGAGGAAGCGATCTTAGGTCTCAGACCGGGCGAGGCATTTATAGGAAAAACTCATTTAGTCTCATCAGGGGCCACTAGGCTGGTAAAGGAGCTTGTCACCAAGACTGATGAGCTGCGTTCCATCCCAGGACTTATGTGGTGGAGGGAGACCTGACTCCCTGAGCACACAAAAATAAAAGCAGCCCAGCATGGTGGCCACAACTTAGGCGGATCTGTGAGTTCAAGGCCAGCCTGGTCTACAGAGTGAGTTCCAGGACAGCCAGGGCTATACAGAGAAACCCTGTCTCAAATAAGTAAACAAATGAATAAATAAATAATTATAATATTTGTAAATCTCCAGAGTCTTTGTTAATGGTTAGGCTCCATCTTTATGTTAATATTGTCCCCAAGTCATAAAGCCACACCCCAGAGCCACCACTGGGCATCTCCTGGTGTGCCTGTTTATCATGAGGCGCCTTCCCTCTCTGACCAGTTTCATTTAGGGGGAACATCTTTAGAACAAAGCTGTCACTCAGTAGCTGGACGCTCCACTGACAAGGGCCCTTGTTACTGTCTGGATGCATCTGACCCCCACAGTTCACAGATTGGGAAACTGGTCCCCAAGGTGTTAGGATTAGAGGTGGGTGTAGGGCATGGTAATTAGGTCTGGGGGTGCCAAGGGTAGCCTGCTGGAGTTTTGTCCCTGGGAGAATGTGGTTTTAAAGGCACAGCGGGGCTGGGACTGAGTTGGTAGAGAGCTTGTAGCCCCATGAGTAAGCACCTGCCTAGCGTGCTGGAAGCCCTGGGTTCCACCCATAGCACCACATAAACTCATTGTGGTTGATGCAGGAGAATTGTAAGTTTAAGGTTATCCCTCACTACAGGGGACATCTAGGCTAGCCTGGAGTACATGAGACCCTGTCTCAAAGATTGAAAAACAAAGGAACCCTGGCCAGGGTGGCCCTGAATTGGTGGCTGCTGGTCTTTACCACTCTGCTTTTCCCGTGAGTGTCTACTGCACTGGTGTGTCCCACAAGACCAAACAGGGAAATTCCCCTTCTAAACTTTCAGGCTGCAGACCTGAGCCAATCCAACCTTTAGTTTCCTCCAGGGCTGGGGTGGAGCCCAGGGCTGTGGTGGTATTGTGTTCCCCAAAATATTGTGCACCCTAATAAACTTATCTGGGGTCAGAGACAGAACAGCCACTAGATACAAAGACTAGAAAATGGTGGCACTCACACCTTTAATCCTAGCATTCCAGAGGCAGAAATCCCTCTGGATCTCTGTGAGTTCAAGGCCACATTGGAAACAGCCAGGCATGGTGACACATGCCTTTAATCCCAGGGAGTGATGGTAGAAGGCAGAAAGATATATAAGGCGTGAGGACCAGGAACTAGAAGCATTTGGCTGGTTAAGCATTTGGCTGGTTAAGCTTTTAGGTTTTGAGCAGCACATTTCAGCTGAGAACCATTCGGAGATGAGGACACAGAGGCTTCCAGGCTGAGGAAACAAGACCAGCTGAGAAGTTGGCCAGGTGAGGTTAGCTGTGGCTTGTTCTGTCTCTCTGATCTTCCAGTGTTCACCCCAATACTTGGCTCCGGGTTTTTTTTTTTATTAATAAAGTCTCTTTAAAAGATTCCTGCTACACAGGGCTTCCCACTGAGCCACAGCCTTGGCCCCCAAACCTCTTTTCTCTTCATCAGTAAAAAGATCTGTGTATTGTTAGCACAGCGGAACTCAGACAGTGAGACGGCTCTGTGTAGATCAATTGCCTCCAAGCCTGATGACCTGAGTTCAATCCCCAGAACCCCCACGGTAGAGAACCGACTTCCCAGTTGCCATTGGACCTACACTTACCTCCTACGGCACGTGCTCTCCCCACACACGCACAAACACATACACATATATAGTAAATAAGTTCAAAACAAAGAAATACAACCCTCAGATAACGCCACTCAGTGTGGACATGGCAAGGTAAATGATGCAGTCTTTTACTAATGGCCTCAAATAGCAACCAGGGCAGGGGAGATGCTGTGCAAGTGTGAGGACTGGAATTCAGATCCTTAGAACCCATGAGACCCAGACGCTGTGAGGTGGCTCAGCAGGAACCGGCCTCAGTCCTGAGCTGGATTACGGGACACACATGGTGGGAGGAATGAGCCGACTCCCGCACCTTGTTCTGTGGGTCATGTATGCAACAAGTGTGAGTGCATGCACGCCAACACACACATCCATGTACTCTAAAGAACACACAAAACAACCAGCCTTGTCAAGTGCCCCGCTATGTACTTATAATCTCAGCTACTTGGGACACAAAGAGAGGAGGGAAAGGAGGAGGGAGAGGGAAGGGGAGGAGAGAGGAGGGGGAGGGAGGGAGGGGAAAGAACATCTATTTAAAGCACTGCTTCCCCGAGCAGTGATCCCAGGAGCAGCTGGTAAGTCCACAGGGCCACGGCTGCTGAAGCGCTCCCTCCTGCCTGCAGAAACAGACACTCGCATGTGCTTCTAAAAATAGCTGCCAGGGGCAGTCTGATTCCAGGGTGTTTCTGGTGCCCTTTGGGACCACCCCAGAGACAGTGCTGAAGGGGAGGGGCTGGGATTTCAGTGTACCACACCATGGCAAGCAAGCAACAGGCTTGGCTTCATTAGTACCTCCTCTAGAAAGTCCCGTGTCCCCTTCCGGCCTGAGCAAGTGTCTGCCACCAGCCTCCAGCTAGCCGCTTTCTTTGGTTGTCAAAAGGCAGAGGGATGAGTTTATATAGCTCTCAAGATGTAATGGTTCACCCCGTTATCTTTATTTGTTTTTAAAAGATTTATTTTATATGTAAGAGTGTTTGCCTGCATGTGTGTCTGTCTGCGCACCACACGGTGCAGTACCTGCCGAGGCCTGAAGAGGGCGTGAGATCCCTTGGAGCTGGAGTCACAGATGGTTGGGAGGGACCCTGGATCCTTAGCAAGAGCAGCCAGTACGCCTAACTGCTGAGCCACTGCTCCAGCCCTGTTTTTGTATTTATTTTGACATGGCGCCTCACTCTAATCCAGGCTAGCCTTTAATTTGTCATCCTCCTGCCTCAGCCTCTCCACTGCTGAGATGACAGGCTTCAGTCACTCAGAACCTGGAGAAGCCCAGCCTCCCTGGCTCTATCAAAGGTTGCCTACCAGGACTAAAAGAAATGGCTTAGCCCTTAGCAATTATGCCAGAGATATTCCTGGGCCTAGAATGAAACTGAAATATCTGCAGGGTGGAAATTTCACACACTAGTCTTAAATCCACCCACCTGATCTCCAGGAACAGCCTAGCAGTAGCACCCCTGCCTAGACTCCCAGTGAGGGGCTGAGGGCGTGGCTCAGGGGTGGAGCCCTTCCTAGAATCCCTCAGTGAGGGACTGGGGGCGTGGCTCTGGGGTGGAGCCCCGCCTAGAATCCCCCAGTGTGGGGCTGGGGGCGTGGCTCTGGGGTGGAGCCCTTCCTAGAATCCCTCAGTGAGGGGCTGGGGGCGTGGCTCAGGGGTGGAGCCCTTCCTAGAATCCCTCAGTGAGGGGCTGGGGGCGTGGCTCTGGGGTGGAGCCCCTGCCTAGAATCCCCAGTGAGGTGCTGGGGGCGTGGTCAGGGGTGGAGCCCCGCCTAGAATCCCCCAGTGAGGGGCTGGGAGCGTGGCTCAGGGGTGGAGCCCCTGCCTAGAATCCCCAGTGAGGGGCTGGGGGCGTGGTCAGGGTGGAGCCCTGCCTAGGATCCCCCAGTGACGGACTGGGGGCGTGGCTCAGGGTGGAGCCCCGCCTAGAATCCCCAGTGGGGGGATGGGGGCGTGGCTCAGGGGTGGAGCCCCTGCCTAGAATCCCCAGTGAGGGGCTGAGGGTGTGGCTCGGTTGAAGATCCCTGTCCAGAATCCCCTAGTGTCTCCTTCCGATACTGAAGATTAATGGCGGGGAGGTCTGTGGGGAAAATAGAAATTGCCCTCTTTGTCTTTTTTTGGTGCTAGGCCTTGCACACGCTTAGTGTAGCATATCTCAGGAGCCATAGCCAAAGTCCCAAAATTTTGTACTTTTCAGCTTAATTTTGTTGTGACCCTAAAGCTGGCCTAAAAAACAAAACAAAACAAACAAACCAACCCTGGCTGTAGTTCAGGGGGCAGAGGACCGGTCTAGCATGCCTGAAGCCCTGTATTCTATCACCCGCACAACAGGAAACAGGCGTAGTGGCATAGGCCTGGATTCACAGCACTCAGGATTCAAGAGGATCATGAGTTTGAGGACAGCCTGGGCTACATAGTGAGACCTACAAAAAAAAAAAAAAAACGGAGTCTGTTACTGTTGGGCATGTCTGTAGTCCCGGCACTTGGGAGATGGAGGCAGAAGAATCAGGAGTTGGAGGTCATCTTTAGCTGCATAGCTAGTTTTAGTCCAGCCTGAGCTACATAAGACCAGCTTAGTTCAAACAACTGAGGATTGGTGGCAAGGGCATAGCTCCGTTGGTAAAGTGCTTTCCTAAGAGGCACACAGCCTTGGGTTCCATCTGCAGCACAAAGGGTGTGGTGAGGGACACCTGTCATCCTAGCACAGGGGTGGGGGTGGGGTGAGTCCTCGCAAGCAGCCCTGACCTATTTTAGTTCCTCCCTCCTAGAAACCCCATCCCCTTAAGTGGATCAAGCTCTTCTGGGCAGTTCTGGTTCAGCCCAGTGTCCTGCATCTCTAAGCACTCTGAGCCTTCTTGCAAAAGAACTCTCTGGAAAGCCTGGCCCAGAAAACACCAGTACCCCCATGTTCTTCTAGAGCTTTCCAAATGAATGGAAACACTTCTTACAGATGCCTCAGATGCCCCAAATCCAGATCTCCATATCAACAGACTATGTGCCAGTAGCCAGCAGAGGGCAACCGGGTCATTTTACCAGAGCCCAAGTCACAGATCGGCAAGGGGAAACGCGTGGAGGCGATGGAGCCAGTTTGCCAGTTGAGTTAGTCCAGGCAGACTGGTCCCACCTCAGATGCCCTCACTTGTCCCTTTTGTTTCGTGTGTGTATGTGTGAGTATTGAGCATGCATGTTTGAACGGGCAGGGGGACGACACAGTGCATATGCAGGGGCTTTGTGCACATGTGTGTCTGTGCACATATGTGTCTGTGCACATATGTGTGTGTCTGTACACATATGTGTGTCTGTGCACACGTGTGTGTCTGTGCACATGTGTGTCTGTGCACATGTGTGCGTCTGTGCACATGTGTGTGTCTGTGCACACGTGTGTCTGTGCACATGTGTGTGTCTGTGCATATGGGGCCAGTTTGTCCTGAGGACCCAGTCTCTGCCTCCCGAATAACTCACCATCTTTTTTCTTTTATTGTTTGGTGGGAGTGGTGGGGGGTGCGGAGGTGTCAAGACAAGATCTCACTATACAGCTCTGGCTGTCCTGGAACTCACTATGTAGACCAGGCTGGCCTCAGACTTACAGAGCTCTGCTTGCTTTTCTATCCTGAGTGTTGGGTCCGCAGGCTCACCTGAAGTTGCCCTATCCTGGAACTGCTTTGGTGTGCGCCACCGGTTGAGAAAGAGGCTTGATATGTAGCCCAGGCTGGCCTACATTAAGGCTCAGTCTTGTTTGCAGAAATGACAGGTATGTGTTGCCTGGCAGCTCACCAGCCACCTTGCTTTCCTAAGGGAAGGATGAAGAGAGTAGTTCTCGCAGCCTAATCCATTATTCTGGGAGTCACAGGAACCTGGGTATGAGGCTAAGTCCCCTGGGACTTGCAGGCTCACTGCGTATTAATCATATTAGTTTGCTTCAGTCCTCTACCTCCTGTTCCCCAAACTTCGAAGGAGTCATACCAGGCAGATGTCACGAAGCACACACAGGGGGTGGGGGTGGGGGAATGGGCATGAAATACAAGCATGCACATATTTTGATTAAATTGGTCTGGGTTTATTTGGTTATTTGGTTTTGGAGTCTGGAGATGGAATCCAGGGTCTCCTGTGTGCTCAGGAGGAGCTCTACCAACAAGCCACCTCTCCGCCCCACATTGGGGGATTCTAGCTTGTCGCTCTACCGCTGAGCCATGCCCCCAGCCCCACAAAGGGGGGTCCTAGGCAGGGGTTCTACCCACATTGCTATTCCTTTAAAAATTCTTATTTTGGACTGGGGTGATATCTCAGCAGGCAAAGACTCCTACTGTCAATTCTGACAACCTGAGTTCGATCCCTGGGACCCACATAGTAGGAGAGAAACAGCTCCTCAAGTCGACAAACTGTCTTCTCACCTCCACATATATGCTGGGTACACACAAAATAAATAAACAAAAATTAATTTTGGTGGTGCCCAGCACTCAAGAGGCAGAGGCAGATGGATTTCTGAATTTTAGGACAGCCTAGTCAAAAGAGTGAGTTTCAGGACATCCAGGGCTACACAGAGAAACCCTGTCTCAAAAAAATAAAACAACAAAAACAAAACTCTCTCTCTCTCTCTCTCTCTCTCTCTCTATATATATATATATATATATATATATATATATATATATATATATATATATATTTCCCCCCGAGGGCCAGCAAGATGGCTTACCAGGTAACAACACTTGCCACCAGGTTGACAGACAGCCTGAGTTCAATCCCTGGGATCCACATGGTCGAAGGAGAGACCTGAAACCTACATTTGTCCTCTGACCTCCACACATGTGCAATGGTAGTACTCCACACACACAATAAATAAACAAATAAAATGTAATAATAAAAAGTTTAACACAACTTTATTTTGAAACAGGATCTGGCTCAGTTGTCCAGGCTGGCCTTGAGTTTGCCTCTGCTTCTTGAGTGGGTGGGATAACAGGTGGGCATCACTGCACCAGGCTGAGGTCAAGTTTTATCATGTCGGGCCTCAAACTCAGAGATCCACCTGCCTCTGCCTCCCAAGTGCTGGCATTAAAAGTGTGCACCACCAAGCCCGGGTGGAAATGGACTTTTAAAGACCCTAGAAATCTGATGTGCAGCCAGGGTTGAGAAACCAATGAAGTTGTAAAGCATAGAACCAAAACTTTCTGGAACATTCTGACCCCACACTTGCAGCACAGACGGTTTACTGTGGAACCCCTGCAGAAGTATTCAGACAAGAATGGGCATGGATCACATCTAGAATTCGAGCACAGGGGCGGCTGAAGAAAGGGTCATTGAGTTGGAGTCTAGCCTGGGCTACACAGTGGACCCTGTTTTGTTTGCTTTTGGCTTTTTGTTTTGTTTTGCTATTTGAGACAGGGTTTCTCTGTGTAGCCCTGGCTGTCCTGGAACTCACTTTGTAGACCAGGCTGGCCTTAAACTCACTGAGATCCACCTGCCTCTGCCTCCCAAGTGCTGAGACTAAAAGGTGTGCACCACCACCACCCAGCCCTTGTTCTGTTTTATTAAATAGGGGTTGGCAAGATGGTTCAGAGGTAACAGCACTTGCTACCCAGTGACAACCTGAGTTCGGTCCCCAGAACCCATGTAAAGTGTAAGGCAAGAGCTGCTCCACAAAGTTGTCCTCTGCCTGCATGCTCTCTGAGGCATGTCTGTGCACACACTGATGATGACAATGATAACTGAAAATATTTTAAAACGCAAATAAAATAAAGGGGGGGGCAGTGAGTGGCTCTTTGGGTAAAGATACTTGCTGCCAAGCCTTGAGTTCAATCCCCACATCCCACACTGGAAGGAGGACAGCTGTCATTGTCCTCTGCCCTCCACATGCACACCCTGGCACACACACACACACACACACACACACACACACACACACACACACATACTTGATAAATAAATGAAAAGAGTTAAAAATACTGAACCCCCCCCCCCATTTTCAGCACACTTCTTACTAAGTCCATCCTAGGGGGCTCCCACCTCCTCATGGTGGATCTTGGGGATGTGCTGGGTTGCACAGAAGCCACCAGGAATCCTTCCCCAGATGGTAAACCCAGTTTCTCCAAACAAAAGCACAAACGAGAACTTTGCCTTGCAAAGCCAAGACTCTCCAGAGCAGCTTTTAGAGAGACAGACTCTTGCTGGTGCACAGACAAGAAAAACACAACAGGATGCCTGACGAGTCACGCCAAGCCCCTTGCATAAGAGCATGTATTTATGCTTGTAAGGACACGTGTACACATTCACCTAAGAAAGCTCTGGAAAAGGATCCTTGTGAAGTTAACAGGAATACTTTTTATTTTTAAGCTTGATTTTTCCCCCTTCCACTTTGTGGGCCATCTTGAAGGCCCCTCATTTTTAATAAACATAGCAGGCTATTTTTGTCACCTCAAAAGAATTAATTTACATATCCACCCACGAAGGGTCCTAAACTTTCTTGGAAGGAAATGATTCTGTCCCTCAAACTTGCAGGTTCAGTAGAATAAAACTACAGGAGACGAATACGACACAGTTGCTTACACTGAACTTGTGTAAAAATAGAACACTCCAGGGAGACATTATTTATTTATTTTTGAGATAGTCCTTAGTCGAACTGGCCAAGAACTCACCATGTATCCCTGGCTGTCCTGGAATTAGCTTTCCTATCCCCCTGCCTCTACGTCCTGAGTTTTGGGGTTATCGGTGTGAGCTACATTTGTCCTCATTAAAACAGAATGGTTGGAGGAGGGGCGGGGGAGCAGTGAGATGGCTCCGCTGCTGAAGGAGCCTGTCCACAATTTTGACCACCAGAGTTCCATCGGAGGACCCACATGATGACCGCAAAAAACGACTCCTGCAAATCGTCCTCTGACCTCCACACATGCCCACAACACACACATAAACACAAGTAATTGATTGCTTTTTTAATCAAGGCTTGACTCTTGAGAGCAGGCTGACCTAAAGTTGCCCTATCCTGGAACCGCTTCGGCTCCCTAAGAGGGAAGGCTCCCAGGCCAGAGCTGGCCCAGCCCACGAACGGGAAGGGAGGGAAGAAGAGGATGCCAAAAGATGCAGCGCAGAGGGGACACCGGTGTCACTTTCCCCGAACCTGATCGCAGCCCCCAGCACGGCCAGTCCTTATATAGTCACTCGGCAGTCACTCCAAGGGCGTGAAGGGAGGTCATGGCAGCTGATGTGCAGAACATCTGACCTCGCCCGGGCAAAGACGACCCTTGCTTGCAACCTTCGCCACCATCAGTGCCCCTTGCCCAAGTTCAAGTTCACCAAGCTTTGCTCTAACCTGACTCCTGGCCTTTTCCCACCCCCACCCCCACCCCCCACAGCACCTGTCCTCCCTACAGTAAGCAAGCGCTCTCCTCTCCTTCCCTCCCACCCATCTGCCCCCTTTCCACAGCTCCTCCATCCCCGGGGTTCCCTCCTCCACCTGCGCGCCCGCGCGTGGGAAGACTCTGCCTCCTCCCCTATCCAGCCCCAGGATCAGCCCTGCCTCCTCCAAGCCTCCATCATCAAGGCAAGGGCAACCTCTCTCCTGGAAGCCCCTACTCACCTGGCTCATACTTCAGGTAAATGAGGGAGACGATGAAGTAGCTGAGGTCGAAGACTGGGAAGAGCGGCACCCGCGAGAAGCTGAGCGCTAGCTCTCCCAGGCTTAGCGCCGATATCAGGTCCATGGCGTTGGCCGGTGCCTCCCCGGCCCCTGGCCGCCCCGTGCGTCCCGCCGCCCGCCGCCGGGCGTCTGAGCCCCCGCCACTGAGCCCGCCCCGCTGTCAGGTACCGCCCCGGCCCGGCCCCGGGGAGAGGAGGGGCGATGAGGCCGCCCAGCCCCACAGAGCGCAAGGCGCGGGGCCTCAGGGATGCCAGAGCTCCGTTCAGCGCAGCCAAGTAAGGGGTCTGCACGCTGCATCCAGCCCACTCAAGCGGGACTCCAGTCCTTGTACAGCTGCCTTGTTAGGACCCTGTCTCTTCTCCGTGGGAATAGCCTAATCAGGTCCCCTGTTACCCCCAAGATCCCAGTCAATCAGGATCCCCGCCCTCCGCAGACCTCAGCCAAGAATTTCATGTTTTATTCTTGAGGATCCCGTCACTTCAAGGGGATGTGCAAGTCAGAACCCCGCCTCCCACAAGGCCACTTCAACCCAAACCCTCATGTCCTATTTGGTCTGTTCGGTGAGAATCTTGTCTTTCCAAGAGGCTCCACGAGTCGGAAGAACCCTCTTCTGTGGACTCCAGCCCAGACCCTGGTGTCCCATGGGGTCCACTGAGTTAGGGACCCATAGGTGTCCCATTAGGTCCCATAGGTCCTTCGGGAGGCCCTCCATCCACCCTCTGTGGACCCCAGCCCAGGCCTCATGTTCTGTAAGGTCTGTCCGATCAGGACCGTCATTCTCCACGGGACCACACGAGTCAGAACTGGAAGGCCCGTGGGGTACAACCCAGGCAAGGGGACGCCCTGACCCACACACTATGCACTCTGAGCCGGGGTCGCAGCCCTCCGTGGGGCCCAATAGGGGCCCTTTTAGAGTACAGTCATCCGTAGCGCCCGTATCCAAGGAGCCCACTACGCTGCATTCCGTCTCCGGGGCGGCTCAGGGGTCAAGGGCACAATTTCCTTGTAGACGCGGAACCGGCCGCCCAGTCAGCGCCGGAGCAGAAGCTACAGCAGGGATAAGCCTCAGCACGCAACACCGCGCATGCGCGCGCACCCCAAGCCCCGCCTCCATGGGTGTCATCACGCCACACCCTCCCTCGGCGAACCCAGTCAATGTTGATTCGGTATTGGTCGCCTTGTGCGATTCTTCCCGCCCTCCTCACAGCTTCCGTTTCCGGTTCTGGCGCCCGCTTCGGCTGTAAGGATGATCGGAGACATCCTGCTGTTTGGGTAATGAGAGTGAGGGGTGTCAGAGGCTGGAAAGTGACAGCCGGGCGGGGCGGGGGTGGCCATAGTGACCGTAACTATCCCTCCACAGGACGCTGCTGATGAACGCCGGGGCTGTTCTCAACTTTAAACTGTGAGTAGGCCGCGCTGGGCGGTGTCCCCACCTTCAGGCTCCGCCCACGCCTTAGGTCACGGCTGGCCCCGCCCCGAGCGTGGGCCCCGCCCCTCTAGCCTTCCCTCTGGCCCCGCCTCCGTGCTGCCTCCCCAGGCCTTGACAGTTCCGCACCGCCCTTGACTCTTTAAATCTGTACTCTAGGCCTGAAGATGGCTCAGCGGGTAAAGGCGCTTGGCGCCAAGCCTGACTACCTAAGTTCGATTCCCGGAGCCTGCGTGGTAGAAGAGGAGAACCGACTCCTGTGGGTTGTCCTTTGACCTCCACACAAGTGCCGTAGCATGGCACACTCATTCCTCTCACTCACAAATTAATATTAAAACAAAAAATCTGCACCCTCTGTACCTGCGGTGTCCTGCTTGCACCGCCAAAGAGCCTCAGGCTCATCCCTCAAGAATGCATCCATAGTGGCCCCTCTGATGACCAGTTGTGACAGACTAGGCTGGTTGGTAGTGTCCCTGAGAGGGGTATATCACTGCCCCAGGTCAGGAGACCCAGTGGTGTTTATGTTCCACTCGAGTGGGTGTCATCTGCTGTTCTTAATAGGAAAAAGAAGGACACCCAAGGCTTCGGGGAGGAATCGAGGGAACCCAGCACAGGTAAGCATGTCTTCCGTGTTGTCCCGCTTTCCACACCTGCACAGTCTGGTTCCTGCTCCCTGTTCGCTTTCACCAGCCTGCGCTTTCCTGTCTCCTTTTGTTGTTGAGAGTGGTCTGGTGGAGCCACGAGTGGCCTCCGAAGTGTTGGAGTGACAGGAGTGTCCACCGTATTGCCAGCCCCTGAGCTGGCCACTCTGACGGTGTGAGTAAGAGAAAGTGGTCCTGCCCCGTGGGAGGGTGGTGCTGCAGAAGCACAGGTTGACGGGGCGTGGCAGAGGCCCTTTCGGTGGCCAGTGCCGTCATGATGGAGTATTGCCTGAGGTTGGTAGGAGCAAGAGGCAAGAGTCAGGGTTGGAAACTGGGTTTTCCTTTTCTTTTTCTCTTTATGGAGGCAGAATCTCCTGTGTCCTGGGCTGGTCTCGATTTTACTTGTAACCTAAAGTAGCCTCAAGCTTTTGGTCCTGCCTGTACGTCCTGAGTGCTGGGGTTACAGGTCCGTGTCCCTGCTGCTGGTTATCAGGTGCTAGAAATGGAGCCCAGGGTTCGATGCATGCTGGGCAAGCACCATTCATCTTCCCACCTACCCTCCCACCCACCCTCCTATCTACCCACCCCAATTGAGCCTCCCTCCTATTCACCCATCCGTCTACTCATGCGTCCATTTGTCTGTCTTCCATCCATCACTGTGAAGCTGCATCTCCCCTTCCCTCCATGCGTGGGCTGTATCAGGCCCAGGGGCTGCGCTTTGCTGGTCCGAATCCGAGTTGTAGTGACGGGGAGTTTGGACACAAGCTCAGGAATGGTCAGACTGTGGTTGACAGCAGTGGAGTAACGGGCCCCCGGACCGCATCTGGAGCCTCTGCCTCCCGCAGCATGCTGTCCTCCCCGCGGCCCCTCCTGCCTGCCCTGTCTGGCACCTGTGCCCTAAGAGCAAGATTCTACTTTTGTGTGTGTGAGGGAGCGCTTGTGTCCTGTCATGCAGAGGACCGCTGCAGAAGTCCGTTCTCTCTGTCATGTGGGTCCTGGGCATCGCGCTCAGGTCGTCAGGCTTGGTGATGAGCGCTCTTCCCGCCAAGCCGTCTCGCAGGCCCCATGGCTGCCTGTTTGTTTTTGTCTTTGGTAAATTTTTTGTTTCGTTTTGTTTTTCATGACAAGGTTTCTCTGTGTAGTCCTGGCTGTCCTGGATCTCGCTCTGTAGCCCAGGCTGGCCTCGAACTCACAGAAATCCACCTGCCTCTGCCTCCTGAGTGCTGAGATTAAAGGCGTGCGCCACCACCGCCCAGCTGGCTTTCATAACTTTAAAAATATTTATTTATTTGTGTGGTGGGATTCACGGACAGAGGTCAGAAGACATCTCATAGCGGGTCTTTTTCCAGTGGGGTGCTAGGGACTGAACTCAGGCTCCAGGTTTGGTAGCATGTGCCTTTACTCACTAAGCCGTCTCACCTCTGTGGCTGCATTTTACATGAGCCAGGCCCTGGCCCATCGTCCCAGCCATGCGTTCACACAGGAGGATGTGTGCCGCCGGCTGAGAGCTCAGGGACCGGCCAGAGCACTCTTGCAGGAGGGCGGAGCCAAGTTTGCTGCCCCCAACCTTTCCAGCTGCTGGGTTCCCTCTGTGGGTGCACTTGCAGTCACTTCTCCCCCCAGCACCCAGGCCTTCCCACCAGCTGCCCCAGAGGCTCGACAGACACATGTCCCAGATGTCCTGGAGCATCTCTGGGCAGGTGTACATGTCTTGTTCTCCTTGTGTGTCTGAACTGAGGAACCATGGGCTGGCCCACTGGGACCATCCTGTTTGGGAAGATCAGTCTTTCTTCTTTTTTAAAGTGTGCACGCACGCGCACACACACACACACACACACACACACACACACACACACACACACACACACACACACACCAGTGCTGTGGCCCTGTGTGGAGCTCAGATGAAAACTGGAATCTCTCCTTTCTACTTTTATGTGGGTCCCTCCTATGGTTGACATCTGGTCACCAGGCTGGCATTTGAGCACCTTGAGCCACTGAGCCACCCCAACAGCCTGGCACAAGGATTTGGGCTTTGCTCACTGGTACTTTCCTGTCGCTGTCGCAGTGGTGTGATACACAGACGGTACTGTAGACAGACAGATGGTGTTGCTGGCTGCTAAGCGGGTGCCGTGGTAACGCCTGCACTCAGTGAGAGGAGTGGGTGCACAGGCCAAGGGTGGCAAGTGGCTGCCAACAGTTCCAACTTTGCATTGCTTGCCATCTGTTCCCGGATAGCCCCTGCCTACAGGTGCTGCCCTGGGGTCACCCTTATAGATCACCTAATCACTAGTTATTTCGATTCTGGAGAAACAAGGAGGGTGATTGACTTCAGACTTGGAAGAAGGTTCTAGAAGTCAATCTGTAGACTCACTTTGTTGTTTGATTTTTTTGAGGCAACATCTCACATAGCCCAGGTTACGCTCAAACTTGGCAGTCCTGGTGAGTGCTAGAGTTACAGACAGGTGCCAACATGCCTGGGTTGATTGCCATTTTTGTGTCTCACAAAACATGCTTTTGGTATTTTTCCCCCATTTGAAACGTGAAAACTGAGTTGAGTGTGGTGGCACACACCTGCCAGCCCAGTGCTTAGAGAGAAGATTCAGGAGGATCAGAACTGCAAGGTCATCCTCAGCTACAGAGTGAGTTCAAGGCTAGCCTGAGCTACATGATAACCCTGTCTCCAAAACAAAGGAAAGCAAAACAAAATCCTGCAAAATCAGGGCAGGAGATGGGCATCTGTGATCTTAGCTGGTGGAAGGCAATTCAGGCAGCTCCCAGCTAGCCTCTGCCCTGTAGTGAGACCCAGTCTCAAAAACCAGTTTACAGAGGCTGCTGAGATTGCCCAGCCAGCAAAGGCAGTTGCTACCAGTCCAGACAGCATGAGTTCAATCCTCAGGTCCCCCATCATAGGAGAGCATTGACCCTTGCAGTCTGTCCTCTGACTTGAACATGCCCTGCTGTGTAAAAAAAGTCAACATTATAGCCAGATGGTGGTGGTGGCTCCCAGTCTCAGCACTTGGGAGGCAGAGGCAGGCGGGTCGCTGTGAGTTTGAGACCAGCCTGGTCTACAGGCGAGTTCCAGGACCTCTCATACCACACTGAGAAACCATGTCTTGAAAAACCTAAATAAGCTGGGCAGTGGTGGCACATGGGAGGCAGAGCCAGGTGGATCTCTGTGAGTTCGGGGCCAGCCTGGTCTACAGAGTGAGATCCAGGACAGGCACCAAAACTACACAGAGAAAACGGCTGTCTGGTGCTGGGTCCCTGGGCTCATGCTGCCCTCTGCCCCATATCAGCCCAGAGCTGGCAGGTTCTCAGTCTAGCAAACCTGGGTCTGATAACTAGAGCCCGTGACCCAGGTCAGACTCTTATTGGACAGACTTAAGTCACGTGCCCTTTCCAGCACCAATTAGAGGTTTGGGGGTTGGTGGTCCCGGTGACGGCCTTCTGAGCCATGCTGTCTGGATTTACAGGAGACAACGTCCGGGAGTTCTTGCTGAGCCTGAGGTACTTCCGGATCTTCATCGCCCTGTGGAATGTGTTCATGATGCTCTGCATGATTGTGTGAGTCCCGCACTGCGTGGTGCTCATGACCTTTTAACAGTGTGTGTGTGTGTGTGTGTGTGTGTGTGTGTGTGTAGGTGTGTAGGTCAGAGGGCAGCTGTGGGAGTCAGTTCTCTCATCCATTATGTGGGTCTTGGGAATCCAACCCAGGTTGTCAAGCTTGACAGCAGGCACCTTTACCTGCTGAGTCCTCTTGAAATGAATCTAGGTGATGATCATGATATATAATCCCCAACAGTGTGTTTGAGATAGTGCCTTGCTATGTAGCCCAGGCTAGCCAGTGCCTTGCTGTATGGGCCAGGCCGGTCTTGAGTGTGGTGCTGCTTGGCCTCCAGAATGCTAGGATAGCCAGCGTGCATCACCACACTCAGCGGTGTGCTAGGGTTTTTACA